AACGATACATCAGTATATAAAAATTTTACGAATATCATAATCTGGATAACTTGTACGCATGTGTGTTTACGTATAAACGAGTGAACTGATTTTGATGAAACTATCGTATAATTTTTAAGCATCACAATCACATATCTGTTCTAATTTATACGAAATGCCGTGTACTTCTTATTTATATGTAAAATCAAGTGACATATGCGATGCGGGTTGAACCTAACACATATCTTTTTTGTTAATCACAGATTATTTATTTTCCTCTAAAGGAAAATCCAAAGTCGTAGGACAAAGCTAGTGTGTAAATTGTAATATCTATATGACTTTAACTAAAAAACTACAATTTCTTGAAATAAGCTAAATACATATTTTCTTAGTCAATTCTCATCTATTTGTATGAGTTGATCGACTTTGAAATCGTCGTATAAAAAAAGTGTAAACTATGAATGAAGGGAATAAGGCACGCGAAATAACTTCAACAAATACATTACAGAACTAGTATTGAATCTATACTCGGAAACAATACCGCTGGGAACGTAAACGGGTTTCGATTGGACTTGAAAAACTCCAACATCGCCACAGTGGAAAAAAATAAAATCAATTAACATACAGACAGGAAACTATCATTACAATGACATTAATCATTTATTTAAACTGTGGCGTAATTCTATACAGAACCGGTAAACCAAAATCGTGTGTCTCAAGTATAGTGCATAAAGTAAACAAGAGATTTCAACATAACTGGAAAGCGCATTCAAACTTGAAGTGCCAAGACAGGAAACATGGGATATGACCAACTTAAATATGAATTTCCTTCGAGACCCTTAAAGGAAGTCTTGTGATTGTCAGATAATTATTGATGTAGAATAAATTGTCGTCCGTTACATACTTGGAAGAACATATTCCCCTAATACTACTATCACATATACATATATTTTCATATAGATTGAAAATACTAATATTTTTGTTCTTTATCTGAAAATAATTTTATAATAATCTTCTATATATATAAAAATGGATTGCTGTTCCTTAGTCTCGCTAAAACTCGAGAACAGCTGAACCGATTTGGCTAATTTTAGTCTTGAAATACTCCTGGAAGTCCAGGGAAGGTTTAAAAGGTGAGAAAAATTGGAATAATTGCCGAGAAAACCCTAAAAACAGCCCTTTTCTATTTCCCATACAAACGTGTTTTTTTTTGACATTAGATTTGACAACTAACTAATATGTCAATCATTCTGTCGCACTTCAAAACAACGAGATTTATGGCTTATAGGTAAACTCCAAAAATATAAATAAAAAACGTAATACATATTTCTTGATTATAGGGCGATACGAAGTTTGCCAGGTCTTCTAGTCATTTTATAATAATTCTAACTAAAAAAGTCATTGAGTTAGTAACAAAATTCTATCCAATAATATAACTTATAGTAAGTTATAGGTATGTTTAATGTTTCGGTTAGTAGATAATCTATTTCCGTTTAAGGTGCAATCGTACTGAAATCATGTCCGAGGGTAAGGGCAGGTGGAATGATACATAGATGAACTATCTACTTCCTTACTTTAATTAGAATTTCACACACCTTACGTTTGTTGTCAAGCTGAGGCCAGCTTTAATTATATGTTAATGCCTTACAATGTCCAGAACTATGCTATTATTTTTATAAAATACAAATTATTTAGTATATAGACGTTTATAACTTCAGAGTAGTGTAGTTATTTTTTTGGGAAATAAACGCAGACGAACCAGCGGGAAGTAAGTTGTGTTGTAAAGGTTCCCGAAATTCCCGAAATATTATCATGTGATGTGAAACTTCTGTGATATCAGATAAGATTATTCGGTATCTGGCAATGCCCTTAGATCAAAGCTTTATCTGCACGTTCCAGGAAGTTGAAGTAATTATTACTCTACGAATTATGATTGGTTTAAGATAACTTTAACATTCGTATAGAAAAAAATGCTCTTAAACTTTTCCTTTCCTACAGCATATTTTTTGTCGAGATCCTGTTAGTTGACAAACAAAATGTGTGACCTATCGAACTTGACAAAAACCAGAAACCCCGCTTTAAAATTACTACAACCCCACATGTGTCAATTTTTTGTCAAGCCAAGTCCCGTTTGTGCAAAATGATTGTCAATTCATACAAAAATTCTTTTTACATATTCCTTAGGAAACGGTTTATTGGTAGATATGTTGGTATAAGTTTGTTTAGATACATAATTCTACGATTAAGTATGCTAGACGCCGACCTATCCAATAAAAAGTATACTTTCTTTGTCTAAGTCTGACACCTGCCCTTTATGCTGCTATACCGCCGCTGAGGGTTTCATACCTTATTCTCCATCCCTGTCACTCCTCTTTGTTTACATTATTTCGTCCCTTTTTCTTCCCTTCGAGGTTTTTTTTGTATTCTTCACCCTTACTACAGTATGTTTTGTGTATGTGTGCGTCATAGTGCATGGTGTGTAGGGTACTTCACCCTGCATGTTTGTATGTGTGTGTGTGTGTGTGTGTAAGGGATAAATAAGTTAGTTGATCCCAGTGTTCCGTTGCGCGTGCGTCGAAAAATGTGGTGTATATTTTGGCGGGAACTATTTAGTACTTTATAAGTTTAATTTTATTTTGTGTGTGTGTGTTATTAAAATGTTTTTGAGTGGATGATGGATGTATTGGACCGACATTTGAGATTTTCATTCAATTTGGATAAGCATCGTGATGTTATATGCGTATGTAATTTTATTATATACATACATATATATAAGTACATTCCTATTCACTATAGTCTTCATTTAAATGACAATTGTATTTATTAAGAACCAGGACTCATACAATAAGGAATTTGGGTGTAGTGTAATAGAACAGGTTTTATTTAAATGATCTATTTAGTTAAAAAAAAAACAAGACGTGGATACAAAAACTATTTAAGTGATCCGGTTTTACTTCATATATTTATGGACCATAGAAATTATTTTACATATATATTGCCTGAGCTTAAACAATTCGTCTAGTGTTCTTATACAGGGTGACTGGTGAATTACTATCAATATTTAAGGAGAATACTCGGTACATGATTCTCATTCGAATTATGTAAAAAAAATAGGCATTTAATTTTTGACAAAATTTCCATATAAATAAGTAAAGTGTTGACACGTTCCAAGTGTTCAAATGTGGACGCGTGCGGCGGCGTGCTGATACAACACCACGCCGCGACACGCGTATGTGTGAGTGTGAGTGTATACCTAATCTGTAGGGTGTTCACACAATGCGTAATTAATTACATAACTTTTGGTTAACTTTACTTAGAAGTTTATTAATATTTATGTCATATTAATTTTTATTTTGTCATATATGATCGTCAAGTATCACGTCCTCAAATATCGATAGTAATTCACCAGTCACCCTGTATATGTACATACTTCAATATAAACTCAATGGCTTTATTTTTAGCTTTAAGCTGCAGGAGATATTTTATAATTATCGCAATCTTTTGCTTGTCATGTGGTTCCGTATAAATAATTTAAAAATTATGTCAATCAACAAATTACTTTAAAAGTCAATTCGTTATAATTGACGGAACCCTAGTAGTGATTAAAATTTATTTCTATCGTATTTTATTTACCAAAAATTGTTACTGTTGAATTTTTTAAAGTAACATTTTTATATCAAATATTATAATTTATTGAATTAGTTCACACAATAATATAAAATAATTTTACCTACAACTATAATACAAACAACTTGATACTAAAGCTTACGAACATGTGTTGTGAAGAACAAACTGTTTGGGAGTTCAATAAGTCACATATGACATCATCCTGTCGTGTGAAATATAGGATTTATTATCAATACATACATATATTTTATATATATGATGAAATATTTTTTTCCTTATGTATGTTCATAAATATTTAAAACTAATTTAAATGAAATGACAAATAATTTTATACTTATAATTTTTGATTTCGATGAGAAAAGCCGCTTGAAAAAACTAGTTTGAATGTAAAGAAATTTATTACATTTACCTACTAGCTTATGAATATTAATTTAAATTAATTTTTAATAATGTCACAAACATTTAATTTAAGTGCTTAACGCGCTATATTGTAAAATATTTTAACAGGCCTTTATGTTATCTTTTGAAAATCCACTTACAAAGAATTTTTTATCCGATTCCAATAATAAACTAAATAAATCTTGTATAACTTTTTTCGTTTATGACGTCACTTCAACTTCTCGTATTTGGTATGTGACTTATATTAATGATACAATTATAAATTAATTAATTACGGAATATAAATTACTTATGAGTACTAAAAAAATATACCTAATTACATATATGGTAACTAACTGAATGAAGCATTGGTAATATTTGATGAATGAATTATTTCTACATTTACATCACTATAACAGCCAAATAAAAAATAATGTATGGACGGTATAATATTTATGAATGAAAAAATACTTGTTACGAATCAGCTGATAATTTAATAATAATATATTACCTCATCGACGTCCAGAATTATTACTTGAGACCGGATTTTTTTAAACTCGTTTTCAATATGATGTTAAGCTATAATATACATTAAAACAAGGTATTTAAGACTATTATTGTCTGTCGTCGTATTGTAGTCAAACTTATGTAATTCTGGGAATTTTTTGGTAATACGTGTCCAATGTCTACATTTTGTATTGTTGGCGCCTATATTGTTTAAGTATTGGTATAGAAGAGAATCATTTAAAACTATATCATACTTTAATTTGTAAATAATACCATGAAAATTAATTTAAAAATTACAAATCAGATTGTTTTACATACCTTTTAACTTGTTTGATTATGACGTGTTTCCATTGTATTTGATTTAAAGAATGCTTGGAATCTATTTCCGTTAGCGAAGTTAATGATAATACATACATACGAATAAGATTGTAGTAATTTTATTATTTCAATTTAATATACATATATATATAAAGTTTTCTATGTAATGAGTTATAATTATATTTGTTCAGACGCAGCGGGTATGATTCAGAGTCGAGCGATTATTCAGAGGATGACACGTATGAAGATGTACCGCCTCCAACCAAAGGCTCTGGGCCGAGGAAGAATATCAATAGAGGAAGGTGGACCAAAGATGAGGTTGGCTATTGATATGTATGCTTAATATTAGTTGGCATCATTACACTACATATTGAGCAGTAATATCTTTTCATTCAAGAACCTACGTACATTAATATTGACGTCGGTTATTGATTGAGATACGGGAAACTTTTCGTATGTAGTACGACATACAGATACATATGCAAAATTAAACATGATTATTACTCTAAATCCATATAATGTTACTATATCTTCCTGTATTTTATGTCCTTATGTATTTATGAAGTACTATGTCTCCATCTTAGTCGAGGATCTTAAAGTTAATTTGTACTTAGAACAGCTTAAAGCGAACTATACATTGAATGAATTAAAATAATTTCACTTCATTAAACATAAATATCATGTATTATATACTAACGAGTTTTAATTAGAATACAGTAACTTATCTAAAATTATCACTTAGGTCATAACTTGTGTTATTGGGTCATGTATCATGCTTAATAATTGAATTTATGTAAATAAATTGTAATAATTATATCATTTATATATAAATTATTCCAGGACAAACGTTTGAAGGTCTACGTTAAGATGTACAATGAGAACTGGGAGAAGATAGCGAGTCAATTTCCTGATAGATCTGACGTTCAGTGTCAACAGAGATGGACCAAAGTTGTTAATCCTGAACTAGTCAAGGGTCCTTGGACGAAAGAGGTTCGTTATCATATATATTATATTGATTATAGTTTTAATATATTCGTAGTGTGGGTAGTTTTACATTATACGATTAAGTTGAGGGTAGTTGTAGAATATTTAATTATGTTTATACTTATTTGATGTTCTATACTATGAAAATCATTTAACGTTATATAAATATAAGAATGTTATCTCTGAAATAATAATAAGATTATAATTAAATAGGTTTAAGACCAATTTTTTAAACATTTCCTCCTGTTCAACATATTGCTGTAATGTGTACAAATTATATATTAAATGTCAAAATTACCAAAATAAAATTCAAATACTTATTTAATATACAACAAGTTTTCATTCGCGACTTCCTTCGAATGAACTTCGGAACTGCTTATTCTCAAAGGGAAATACATGTCATGTATTAAAACAATGGATATGGCAACCAACTGTTAGTGACATCTATAGACTGTAAGGTTACTTCATACACAATACAATTGTGTTGCCTCGATCCCGCTAGACCCGTGGAATTCCGGGATAAACTATTAGCTTATGTTTTATTCTAATATGTAAACTATACTATTGTGAAGTTACAATAAAAACCCATTGAGTATTTTTTGCGTGAAGGAGTAACAAACATACATGCATTTATAATATCATTGTATTATATGCAAGTTGCAAGCCATTCAGTCTAGCGAGGAAGTGACTCAGAGTTCGCTAACACTTGCATTTGTAAACTTCTTACGTAATAATTTAAGTTAAATACATATTCATTAGTTATTTTTAACTTACTACGTTTTATATGATATAATTTTTTTTACACACATATATACACACACACATATATGTATATACATATATGAGTATAAAAAACGTACCGTAGTTTTGCTACTTCCCTTTTTGAAGTTAGTTAAATAAATAATACAGCTAAACTAATTTTAAAAATACGCTTTATTATAACTGTAAATTAATTATAATTCATTCATTCATTCATTTCTCAAATATCTCATTCATTGGTTCCGTGAATGAATCCATTGTTTGGACGCGGAATGAATTTTAACGAGACTCTGTATTAACGTAAACCAGCTGATATCATCGTTAAGAATACTCTAACATGATTTATGATAAGAACCTCCGTGATCTCGCTTAAAACGAAGTCGGTTTCGTAACGAAGCTTTATATCATATGGTTCGGAATGTTCAAATGTTTTTATTGAAGTCTTATAAGAAATATTACATTATTAGCTATAACTAATTTAACTTAAATGGTAACTATGTATTAACCAATCAGTGGTGAAATCTATAATCTGTGTCACGTGATCATACAAAATACAACTATCATTATATTGTATTCCCTTCGGAATTATACGAAGTTTGGGGATGAAATATAGCCTCTTCGTTTATCTATATTAATGGGAAATTTAAATCTCTTCACCAATTTTCTTGTGACAGAGTAACAAATATCTAAACATATATTTTACGTCCGTGTCTATATCAGTAACAATAATTTATATACATATGTATATACAAAAAAAGTCGTTTTATACCTAGCTACGTTAAGTTGATCAAATCTAAAATCTTCATATTTACTTTCTTTAAGGAGGAAAAGAGTTCTCCCGGTCAGCTATACATTTCTAATTCTGAAACTAACGCAGAAGAGGTTGCGGGCAAAAACTAGTATATATAATATAAACGTCAATGATTCTTGCGAGTTAAATCTTCCTTCCAAATATGGTGTTGATATTTAGCATAAATATCAAATTTATCATGCCTACCCAAAGGTATGCCAGACTGGGTGTGACAGCACTATGTCATACAATATAATGTAAAGAATGGAAGAATGAATGAATGTAAATGTATTGAATGAACCATATTTTAAATATAAATATATAGAAATGGAAAAACTACGTCAAATATAAAACACAGACAAAGTCGCAGGCATTTATTAGTTCGTACAATGTAGAGCTAATGTACCAAGTACATAATAAAATTTCAAGTCCTCTATATACAGTAATAAAAACGGTAATTAAAATTTTATATAAAACGCGACGAGCACTTGCGATGTTTATATGGTGACGTAATTCGTCCTTGAAGTATTTTGGAACAGACAGTCATAGATGTAATAGGGTTCCTTGGTTAAATGATTAAAACCTTAACGCATCGAAATTGTATTAAATTGTGTAAATCTATTGTAGAAATAATATCTTAAATGAATTGTCATAATGATTAAATTCCAACTTGATTATGTGATACTTAAAAGGATTATGTGTTTCAAACTATTAGCCATATTTTGAATGTGTGTCATCTAGGAACGAAGAGATAATTAATGTAAATTACTATCATACTATGTAGTAGGCGGTGTGACAGAAAATAATAATAATGATGTGACAGAAAATAATAATAATGATTTTCAAATTTTAATTGATATAATTTATTTCTTTATCATTTAAAATTTACTTTATATTATTTAAATATGCATAATCTTAAATAGATATGATGCCATATAATTAAAACTATGCATATTTTTTTTAAAAACAAGGCTATTATCGATAATTTATGAAGAAAATGTTTAAAATATGATTCTAATACTATATATTTAAGCTTATATACATTGAATGCAAATCTGTGTGTCCATAAACCTAGATATAAACTTGTTCAATACAATTATTGTAAACAAAAATTCAAATCCGACCTTGTAATGTAACGACTTACGCGCCATTTTTTTTGGATATAACAAAAATTACCGCCATATTGTTTATCCGTGAAATAGAATTTGAAACTTTTATAGCTGTTATAAAATTTATTATCTGTATATAATTTTAATGTATATTCTATAATATTTTATTGCATATATAGAATTTTGTACATAATATTACTTATAAAGAAGAATTTCTCAATTTTTAAAGATTATTATCAATATTAACGATATTTTTTCATTTAATTTTATTAATGTATTATAGGAAGACGAAAAAGTTATGGAATTGGTGGCAAAATATGGACCCAAAAAATGGACTCTAATAGCGCGACATCTCAAAGGCAGGATAGGAAAACAATGCAGGTAATATTATAAAAATAAAAAAAACAATAGCTTATAAATATAATAAGTTGATTTATATTATTAACTTGCCATACAAAAAAAAATAGTACAGGGAGTAGTTTATTAAAAACAAAATATGTACATATACAGAGAAAATATTGCACAAACAAACATTCATTTGAATAGATTTAACTTGAACTAGTTACTAATACTATTAAATAGACAAGAACACTTATACTTTGTATATTATAATTACTAAAGCAATTATATAAAAAAAATCTTTATTTACTTATGACGTCATCAAAGAGAGAAAGAGAGAGCGATAACAAATGTATGTTCTTTATCATTCAAATTATTCTATTAATTTCCCTACCTATTATACTACTAACACATTTATTTTCTATGCTATGTCTTCATTTACGCAGATATTGTGAAATATTATGCCATTTACAAACAAACATATTATATATAAATTTATATAATTGACATTAAGTTAGTAAAAAAGAAGATTAGGTACACAAAAATCTATTTAAAATGTCTTTAATAGTTTAAGATGTCTGACGTTCACTAATGAATTTCATGACAAGTCTAATATGTCAATGTCTCATATCTATTATATTAAAGTAAGGATATTTAAATTTGTAAATACGTCGTAAGAATTAAACAGGATTTTTTTATATAAGTACAATTTAATATTATAATAAATATTTAATAATCTATGGAACATTTATAAAAATAATAATCTCACTTAGAATAATCTTACCATGACTTGCAACTGTAAACTTCATACACACACACACACACACACACACAATTTTCAGTTTTCCATACCCATTGAATACAGTAATGGATAATGTGTTATGAATGACTTTTAAACGACACATAATTAATTTAATTATTATTATAAAATATATGTAATAAACACTAACTTGATTCTGTTAATAGAAGCATTATAAAATTATATATTTACTATCTAAAATTATTCTACAATGTAGGTAGATATCTCATACATAACATTTTTTTTCAAATAGTAAGCTAATAATTGTTCTAATAGCTATTTCTATTTACAGAGAGCGTTGGCACAATCACCTCAACCCTTCAATAAAAAAAAGTGCTTGGACAGAACATGAGGACAGAGTTATATATCAAGCTCACAGACAGCTTGGAAACCAATGGGCGAAAATAGCTAAGCTGTTACCGGGAAGGTAATAAACTAAACTATATATGTGTTAAACAACAAACAAATATTTAAAATACTTTTATATAAAAATGTATTTAATACTCATAATACAATTAATAAACTTCTTATACTAATGAGTAAATTAAATGTACATACATAGTGTCTTACATGATTGCATATAGCTTGCAGGCATGCATTTTGTGTTGTTTTATATTTTAGTTTAATGTCAATGAACACATTTATGTGGGTAATATATTAAATAAATTTCAATGACACAAAATCATTCAAAAAACTTTATTAAAATTATAAAAATCATGATCATGCAACAATATTAAAAAAATATACTATTACTATAATTTGATATGCAACAATATCAAATTATAGTAAAAGTTCCTGAGATAACCAAACATACAAATAAACATAATACATTTTATTTAATTTATTGTCATTTCATTCCAGAACTGACAATGCTATAAAGAACCACTGGAACTCAACTATGAGAAGAAAATACGAGCCGGAGTTACTTGACAGCTTTGAACATTTGAGAAAGAAGAAACGAAAGGAAGAAGATATACAACACAATGATGTGAGTCATACATTAAATATACTTACCATAGTGTTACTACTCATCTTCAACAAAAGAAGGGTAATGTTTCTCGTACACATGTATGTTTGTGTAAATTATAACTCCCGACATGTATTTGAAGGCGTATCGAATTAAATTATGATAAAAAATTATGGATGAAAACTACTAATATACATTTATTTTCTTGTCTACATTTCTCTATGTATGGATGAACTTCAAACTACAGTAGGACCCCGATTATCCGGACCTCGGTTATCCGAATTCGCGATTATCCGGACTGCCAATCGCGACGAGTTTATTCTAACATTAACATGTCAAAACTTGCATAACGCCACGCCACTTATAACTAGGGCCCGGATAAATATGTATTAAAAAATCTAAAATATGTACATAAAATACGGACGAAAAAATTAAAAAATATGGAAAAAATATGGAGTATAAAATTAAATAATTGCATAATTAAACATTGTTTTACTATAAGAAAGAGTCACTCGTGACGTACATCGTTAAGAAACATTTAAAAAACGATGAAAAAAAGGAGTGAAATATTTATTTCAACAAAAAATAACAGTTTTATTCAACTTCCATTACACTAGCTTTATCAAATTGGTTGCAATACACAATGACGTCCTTCTTTAAATTATCAAAATGAAAACTGACTATTTGGTCGAAATATAGCCTTATATTTGCTGTATGATCTCTCTACTCACATGACGTGATGGATGCATACTTAAGCATACTTAATTCAGTAATTATGTAAGCCATTTCTACAGCCCTCGAAACTTTCGCACAGAGTTTTGTTAATTTTTTAGCGTTTTAAATCCTTTATTTTTTTATGTTTTTTTTTTTTATGAATATATGGATGATTGTGACATTTTCTTATAAAATATGGACTTAACTTTGAAATATGGTAAAATATGGAAAATAAAAGTTGGTTTTTCTCAGTCTAAATATGACAATCCATGTAAAAAACACATTCTAGACCGAAAATCGCGTAAATTAAAAATATGTATTTACATATTAATCCGGGCCTTACTTATAACACTTATACGTACATTATGTACAATTTCTTAATAAACGTTGATTTTCGCTCATATGTATTTGTTGTTTTAAATAAACACCTAACATTACATATGTATGTATGGTACAGACTACACATGTACATATGCAAAAAGCCCGTTTTTCTTCATGTATTGGATTATCCGGACTTTCAATTATCCGGATGCCTACCGACAACAATTAGTCCGGATAATCGAGGTCCTACTGTATTTCTTGTAATGTAGTACTAAATAAAGCTTATTTTCAAAATATTATTGTGCTAAATAGCAAGACTGAATGACGGAATCTTATATAATAAAGTGGTTTAACTTCATTATACTTGAAATCATATTATTTAACAATACCAACTAAGTAAAGCTACCAATATAACACTAAGGACATATATGTTATCAAAACTTCTAATGTATTGTATTTAATTATAATATGTATATGTTAATTTCCAGACATGGTCGGACACATTGAACGAGTCGAGTCAGTCATCAAGTGCGCCGGCTGTTCATCTTCGACAGTTGTTAAGAGAGAGAGCACGAGGCTCGCTGGCACCGGCTGATAGCGTCGAGATAGTTGACTCACCGTTTAGGTCATTATAATAATATATAATAATAATAATTACATTACATCCATATCAAAATTACATAAATAATTTGAAATAAAATTAAATATATCAATTAGTACAAACAAATAAATACTAAATCTTACTAAATAAATACTAATTCACTGGAAATGCGTTTACCCATATTTATGTATGGAGACCGATTCAATGCAACAACATAGGACAATCCCATCTATAGCACAATGCCCTCAGGATGCTATTGGTTCTGCTTAGTAAAGAGGCGACGCGCTTTCTTATTAAAGCGTGGAAGCCGTCAACTCTTGCTTCCAAGAACATCGCAGAATCGCTACAGAATGGTGGCAGTCCCAATATCACCCTGAAAGCATTATTGTATTGGACACGCAGCGCACTGTATGCCCTCTGTGTATAGCTTACCCAAAGATTGCAAGTATAAAATGATTGACAGTAGGCTCTAAATAACGTTATCTTAACTTGTTCAGTACATCTTGCAAATCTTCTAGCAATCATATTGCATCAAACAGACAGCGCCCTGCGTTCCCTTTCGATATCTAGGTTGTCACATAGATCTTCCTTCTAGCAATTTAAATACTTGGGACACTGCCCAAGTATTTCAATTGCTTTACTAAGTCTAAGTGGTGCATCGTTCAATATGACTGGTGGTACTGAGTAACTCTTAGTGCCGGGTTTAAATATTAATACTTCACTCTTAACAGAATTATACTTCAGTCCGGTCTTCGAATATTTCACACATATATTTAACAATTGTCTAAGAGCACTAATCGTCGGGCTCAGCAACACCATATCGTCTGCGTAGCTAATATTATTTATATAAACACTATTTATTCGTTTATTGGTTTATTCATTTATTAGTTGAATTATTTGTTCATTTTAATGCACATTTAAAATGAATATAGTCTAATGTTTCATTATTGTGTAAAATAATTTAGTTTAATGTAAAATCATTTTCTATTACAGATTCGTTAATTTAGAATCACTGCCTCTGAATTCGCCAGTGAAGAATTATTTGAGTCAAGCCTCCACAAGTGATAATAACAGTCAAAATACAAGTAAATATAATATTATTTGACAAGTACAATTACAATTAGTATTAAATAATTATTTTATTATTTTTAGTAAGTAAAGAATATTGTATATAAAAGAAGACATTGCAAAAGTAGAGACTTATTTTATTAAGTGAAAATTCATACGGTTGTAGTACATATATGATTACCTAAATATGTTAATAAAAAAATACTGATACAAAGGTAGAAGAAGTACTGCAGTAAATAGTTGATTTATTACTTAAACTACCTCTTTATCTATATTATGTATTATTTTACTTACAGTAACTTACTCAATACAATCTGAAGCTGATAAAGAAATAGTTGTACCATCAATATACTCACCAAGAGACTCACCACCACCTATATTAAGAAGAGCCAAGCGGAAAACAGCTGACACTACTACACCTTCAAGACAAGTAAGTTTGATATAGTACATATAGGTATATATTATATGTAACAAAAAAAAAAAATTATATGAATGTTAATAAAAATGTATTGATATATTTGTGACAAAAACACATATGAAAATAAATTAAGGGAAACAAATTAAAAATAAATTAAGGGAAATGAGGATGGATGCGACATATTCCAAGTTCTAATGGGGTCATGTTATAAAAAAAGGTTGAGAGACCTTTAATAATACATATTTAATTATTAAAATTCCTTTGAAATATACAACAGTAAGACAGACATTAGGATTAGTATTTTCAATATATATTATAACATTAAATATATTTAATTCAAGCTCTCATTATTCTAAAGTTTATGTTTTAAATTATTACTGTGTTAAACTTGTATGTATGTTCGAACTTTTGAATATCCTCTGTGCATCATCTAATCTGTATTTATATTCTCCTGCACATGTATCAATCTAAACGTATCCTCTATGTATGTTCTATCCTGTGTTATACTTGTATGTATGTTCGAACTTTTGAATATTCTTTGTGCATCATCTAATCTGTATTTATATTCTCCTGTATATGTTTCACTCTATATGTATTCTCTGTGTATATTTTCCTCAGCCGTGGTCAGATCCTCTGTCTCGTGTAATGGAGAGCGGTGCTCCTCTACAAGCATTACCGTTCAGTCCATCTCAATTCCTAGTAGCGCCGCTTGGCAAACAGGACGCGACCCCGCTTAGGACTAAGGTATTGATATAGTGTCTATATGTATAGAAACAATAATATATACAAACTAGGAATAAATGATTATATATATAAGAACGTCAGTGGTGGCCTGGTGATTATGGGGCCCGCCTCTCGTTGCCGATAGCGCGGATTCAAACCTGGCCAGTACCAATGTGATTTTCCAGAGTCATATAAAGTTTCTGAGAGTAATGCTCAAACCTTCTCCATGTGAGAAAGAGGCCTTTGCTCAGCAGTGGGCTCTGATAGGCTGTTGATGATATTTGACTCAGTGTGATTATTAAAAGAAACACTATAAGACTCGACTCACACTAAGAATAAGCACCAAGCTGTGTATTTCCACTAAAATGATTAAATTATTAATCTTAAGTATATTTTCAAATATAAGTGTTTAAATCATATGTAACTTATTTTCAGGAATTGGGTGTAAGTCCTCTGTTGCACACTCCGACACCGAACCTCACACCCGGAGGAACACAGTTTGAACAGAAACATACTCCTAAGTAAGTCTATAACTCACTAGCTGAGACTATTATTATAGAGAAAAGTTAAAACAACATAAATGTATTGAAATTTATACAAGTATTAGTAAATAATATTCATAAATATTGTACTGTGCTATTAAATAAAACTATATCATTTGTAATGTGTGTTCTGCTAAATAACAAGACTTAATGATGGAACCTAATATAATAAAGTGATTTAATTACATTATACTTGATATCATATTTAACAATACTGACCAAGTGTAACTAATAAAACATACTACAAATTAATTTTAATAATATTATAAATGTGAAGGTTTGTGAGTGTATATGTATGGATGTATGTTTGTTCCTTTCACGAAAAACTACTCAACATAATATTTGAGTGAAACCTTACAGTATGATTGTTTATACAACAAAATAACAAAGACAACAATTTATAACGATTTTGTGTAACATGCTTGCACTATAACAATATTTACATCAAATAATTGGTGATGTTGTCACATAAAAAAAATAAATTATTATCTATATATATGATAGATCAAATTCAAATCAAAGTATTTATATTATTAATAAATATAATTAATAAAATGTTTCAGAACACCAACCCCATTCAAGTTAGCGATGGCTGAAATAGGCAAGAAATCAGGTTTGAAATATGAACCATCGAGTCCGGAGCTGTTAGTAGAAGACATCACTGAGATGATACAACGAGAGAACTCTGACAGTCTACATGAGTGTTTACTATCACACGACCAAGAGGCACAGGTACATACACACACACACAGACACACATATAAATATATATAGGAGAAACTAATAAGTGGTTATAAGGCCCGCCTCTCATGTATGAGGGCGTGGGTTCGATCCTGGCCCGGGCAAGTACCATTGTGATTTTTCGGAGTCATATGTACGTAAGAATATTTAGACATCACTGATTAATGCATTCCCAAAGAGGGTTGATGTCAGGCAGTCGGCCGGTCGTAAAAACAATTAGCCAAAACTATTCACAACATGTAAGGCAGACCCTGGCTATAGCTGGGAAAATTGCCAGGTAGAAGAAGAATAAGAGAAACTAATTAAGGAGTCTCTGATTTAACTCCCTATTTAATTTTTTAATGTAGCATATGTACTTAAAGGGTCTTATTTTCAGTAATTTTTATTAGAATTTATTTGTTGTGGATTATCCACAAATTTTGTCGTCGTTTTTCTGATTGAAGTGTTTCAATTATTAGTTGATATTTTATTTGGTAATTTTGAAATGTGACTGTGAGTGAACCTGTTAAAGTTCAACTATCTTCAGGCAGTATAAATAATCTCAGATAAATACTTATGTATATTTGTTACATGTTACTTGAAAGTAATTTCTTTTTGAGCTGTGCTAATTTTAACTCATATAGAATTGCAGTGTACATTTAGTTGAGAATTATTGAAGAATGTTTTTCTAGCAATGTAACAAAAAATCATAAACTTAGATATACCTAATATTAAGAATACAATCTTGTAAAGAAATCTCTACTAATATTATAAATGCGAAAGTAACTCTGTCTGTCTGTCTGTTACGCTTTCATGCCTAAACCACTGAACTGATTTTAATGAAATTTGGTACAGAGATAGAGTTGACCTTGAGAAAGAACATAGGATAGTTTTTATTCCAGACTTTTGAAAGGTTCTCTTGGAAAGGCGATATAACCGAACTCCACGCGGGCGAAGCCGCGGGCGGAAAGCTAGTAATACATAGAACATAAAAAATTATGTTTGAAACAAATTGATACATATCCATGTATTGTTAATGGGAAAATTTAAGTTTGATATAAATCTTGCATCTTATAAGTAATTGTAAATTTATCTGCATATGTGTTTTTATTGTCTTATTCTTTCTTTTATTACAATCTCGTCTTTCATAATTTTTTAACAAAATTCCAAATCACTCCCAGACGTACACACATCGCCCCGCATTTTCATGGGTCTCGCGTACTTCTGAAAAACATAATTTTCATTTCATGGTACACGAAAAATATATCTAAGTATAAAATCAAATAACTAATACATATTATATGTCACACAGATGAGTTCAGACTCCGGTATATCGAGCGTGCAGCGCGGTAAAGAGAACGTGCCCGGTGTACGTCGGTCACGTAAAGCGCTCGCACATACATGGGGAGCCGCCACTAGCACGCCGCGGGCGAGACTCAATGTGCCCGATGTGTGCTTCGGAGTTGAGACGCCGGTGAGACATATATTACACATAGTAGGGGACATATATCGACTTGTATCTCTTAGTAGAGGATTTATATCGTAACTGATACAGTTATGGGGCATAAAACCTCTACTATGATATACATCATAGTAGAGGTTTTATGCCCCCAACATATGTCATAGTAGAGGACTTGTATCCCATAGTAGAGGATTTATATCCCCGTTGTATCTCAAAATACAGGATCTATAAATACTTGTAAATATCTGCAGGCATTTGTATCTAGGTACATATTATACATGAGTATATGTATATATTATTTGTATGTATATATTTTGTATTAGTGTTCTTTGTTTTTTCTATTACCTAAATATTACATTTTTATTAATAAAAAACGACATAAGTTTTGTTATTTACTTACTCTTTTTTTAAAGTTAAATGTTTACACAAAAATGTCATCATATCAATTATGGTTTCAATAACATGAAAATAACAATCTTCTATTCATAGCTTCAAATACTTAAATTTAGATTTTCAATACGATCGACACAATATAACAGAATAATTTATATAAATATGTAATAATTGTTCCAGAGTAAGACGCTGGCCGGCGACAGTTCCGTTCTGTTCTCTCCGCCGTCGATAGTGAAGCATTCCCTTCTAGAAGAATCTACAAGCATCATATCAGAGAACACGCCAGAAGCCTACGAAGAAATTAAGGTACAACACAGGTGTCATGATCCTAACCCTAACTCCTACTACGAACCTGTGTTTAGGAATATAACTAACGAATCACCTAGAACATTCGCTAGGTTAAACGCGGACAGACTAAAAACTATAACAAACGCAAACCTATGTGACAGCTCGTTGGCGCCAAAAGATGTTCTGACGAACGCGTTAGTCGATCACATATACAAAGTGACCAATCAGAAGCCGTCTACGTCACGAATAGACGAAATATTGACCAATCAGAAACCGTCTACGTCACATACAGACGACATGTCTAACAATAAAATTAATAAAGCAAATGACACAGAGAAAGAAAACCAATGGTGGCAGGTTGAAAAAGATTCCGGTATAGATGATCTGTACAACGACTATTATATTTTTACTAATAATATGTAAAATGGCGCTGTCTAACATAATAACAAACTAACGCTTTTATTACGATAAAATTATCAAAAATTATGAAACCTAATATTTATCTGCCGTTATGTTGATTTTAACGGGTTTTCTAACGTTTTTTTAACGGCTGGCCGATTTTTATAACGTTATTTGTGAAACAAAAATATTTTTGATTCCTATGACGCTAGGAGTATTCTTTGAAGTATTAAAAAATACTATATAGTCTATTAAGCGTTGTGAGTCTTAGGTTACTAACTTAATTAAAAATAAAACCATTTAATAATTTGTGAAAAAAATCGTGGTACCAATAAATCATATTGATTAAAAATAAAAAGGATAGGTTCATACAAAAAGTAACAATCAAAAAAAGTCTCGAATAAATAAATAATTGATTATACTTTTCATAATAACAATATTATTTTAAACAAATGGTTGTGTTATACATTATAATATAAATTAAGTTAATTGTACAAATATTTAAGTGCACCAAATAGTAGGAGATTAGTTGTAGTACCAAAGATGATGTCTCTCATCAAAACTTATCTTTTAATACTTAGTTTATTATTTAAATACCTCAAGTTTACCGCGCACCAAATTTTTAAATTTATAATTAGTTTTAGTAAAGTATTATTTGGGGCTGTATTTAACGCTTGTTCACTCTCGAATAACATTATTTATATTCATCAAAAAAACAATTGCTTTGTAACTTGCTTGATTTTTTTCGGATGTAATTTAATTACGTGAATTATTTATTTTAATCTTTTTTTTTTTATTTTGTTATCGGCAGCTACTTAACTATACTTTATTTGAAATAAACAAATGACATTCCAATCCCATTTCCATTACTCCAGCAAATTCCATTCCGTTTCCATTTCCATTCCTTGCAATATTGACAGACCGGTGTTGATACATTTATTATAAGATTATTTTAATGTTGATTGTTTTATATTGTTATATGTTTTTAAATGGATTTGTTTTTTTATTATTATTATTTTTATTTATTTTCTCTTCAGTATCATGTGAGGCATTGTGTATTTATTTTGTATTTTTCTTAAGTTTACTGTCAATATTGTAATTTCCATATAAATTCCGTTCCTTTTTTTTATATTTTATGTCATTTTTTATTTCAATAAATGTATTTTGAATTTAATGATTGTTTTGTTTTTTAACTCCTCTGCTTGCTTTTTGTGAACATGAGTGTACAAAATTATTCTTAATGCATTATTAAAGTGTTATGAAAATTATGTGTATTTTGTTAATTTTGTTTAATATTATTAAATTTATAGTTACATTATTTATTAAGTAAATGTATTTGATTTCCAAAAAAATTGCTTATAATTTAAAAAAAATTTTGGTAATACAATTTTTTAAATATATGAATAAAGGTTCAAGAAATTTAAACAAACAACATACTTGTGAAAGAATAATTTTAAGATGATGATTCTTATACAAGTGAATACTAATAATTTTTTTAATATAAGTAATATAGTTAATATATATTATAGGAACGAAGATTATCAAGTGAACCGGTTGTTGTGAAGAAATCAGCGGTGAGATCTATCAAGTTTGACCAGGATATGGAAAATAAGGAGGAGAAACCATCGTTCATACTGGTTTGTATACCATTATGAAGAATTTATTACATATAAATATAACTGTCTGTTTGTTACTAGGTTACTCCAGAACTACTCATAGATACATATATACAGAATGTCTTCCTGTGATCACGGTTAATGCTAAGTAACCGAAATTTAATAAATTATAGGTCTATTTAAATGAATAGTAGAGAAACTCTTAGATCTTATTATTAATGAATTGATATAAATATATGTATAGTGAATACAAGTGAAAAACATCCTTATATATTTTATAACAGACTGACAAATGGGAGATATTCGCCTGCGGTAAGACTCAAGACCAGTTGGATCTAACGATGCTGGCTCATCAGTATCTTAGGAAGACAGCCCTGAAGCCGCGCTCACTCAACTTCTAGGGCACCTTATATTAATTTTGTGATGGATTCTAGTAGGGTTGCCTCCTTAGTTATTCATGTATATTCCAAATGCTCAGATAGGGTTGCCACCTCACAGTTAGTTGTTAATACGTTGGGATGTGTTCTTAGGGTTGTCACCTAACAGTTATTTTTTCAGGGTTCTCTTTAAAATTATATATGGAAATTTGGAAACGCTTCCACATGGTAGCCATTTGTTTGGTGTATATGTTTTAGGATGTCTTCCAATAGGGTTGCCATCATACGCTTTTGTGTGCACATTTTAGGATATTTTTGTAGGGTTGCCACATAACAGATCTGTGTGTATATTTTGATATGTATTGTTATAGAGTTGCAAAATTCGAATTATAATTGTGTTTCTATAATGTTTTAGCTTGTAAGTAATCATGAATACAAATTTTGTATCCTACGAAAACAAAGTTTGTCGTTTTTAATACAGGACAATACAAAAGGAAAATATATATATATCGAACTGAAATAAAGCTAAGGTCGCATCCTACTAGATTTGTTTTATATTTAAAGTCTGAATTGGCAGCCCTACCTATCAATATGTTTGTAACTACATATTTTAAGTAATATTAGTTTTATATGAGATGTTTTATTTAATGTACCAGCGATAGAAAAATTTCAATCATGTTGTGTTTACATGGTTTTGTTCTGTCTTATATAGTGCCATTTAAATTTACATATTGTATTTATTTGTAAATTTTTTTATAACTTAGTCTGTCTGTGTGTAATATTTAGAATATTTTTAGTCTTAAGTTTTTGTATTAGGTTTTTTTTTTATAAGTTTTGATGTAAGATTGTAATTTCATTATGTTTTAATTGTTTATTCTATATTTATTTTAATTTTCTGTGAATTTTTTACAGGTTTTTTTTTATAAACAAGTTTATTGCAGCACGGTGATTTAAGTGAAGCATTTGATATTTTTCTTTTGTAACAGTGTAATCGAAAATTAAAATTTCTTATTTATTATTTTGCAAAGATTTAGTGTAAATAGATTTAAGATTTTTTTTGCTTTCAAAGTAACGTTTGTATGTTTGTATTAGTTGATAAAGATGATAATCATGTTTGTGTTACAAATAAAATTATATATTTTTCATGATCTTCAAAGATATCTTAAAATAATGAATAAAACCAAAATACCTTATTGTAACAAGAAAGCAATAAATTAATGTACACAAAACAAAATGTCAGGTAACATTTTAAAAATATACAAAAATTTTTATATAGAAGTAATAAGTTTAAGTTAAGATTTTAGAAAAATGACAAATTTTATTGTAAATATTAAGTTAATAAAGGATTCAGTATGATTGAAGTTTTATTACAGAGAATTAATTTTTCAATTTATGTGACTTAAATGAGAAAGAAAATTATTAATATTGAGAACTAGATTCTAGAACAAAATACTAATTAGGAAAATAAAACTAAGAGAGACTTAAAAAGGAATTATCTATGAAAATAACAGCTCAATCTTCAGCGTATTCTTCAAGGTACAGTTTCTGTCTTGTTTATTAATATTCAGCATTACTTCTAGTTATATCCCACAAAATGACTAAAGCCAATTATAGTTTTTAAATACAAGTTGATACTTAAGAGGTGGTTCAGAAAGGCATAATTCGCCGCGATTCTCTCGTGCGTATCACGCGCGACCGTTTCGCCCAGAAAGAGCGTACCTACGCGCGAATATAGGACGATTTTACACTGGATACATCCATTCGCTCTGGAATTCGCATGTTAACTGGGCGTAACAAGGCGACTCTAGTATCTCAACTCGCGTGCATACGAACGAGTCGAAAAAGTGGCGTAGTGCACGCGATTTACACGCGTATTTTGAATTCGCGCGATGATTGTGGGCGCGAGGTATTGTTGCCTTGTATCTCAATAACGCGCGAATGAGTTCGTACGAAACGATTCGCGGCGAATTTGCCCTTATTGGACCAGCTCTAAATTTGAAGTTGCCATTACAAAATTACAATGGCTCAGTATTATAATCTGTCATAAAAAAAATTCTAAGGATTACAGTAGGTATATTATAAATTATAATTAGTACGGTACAGATATCGCCACTTGTGTCAACGACAGGAACTATGTTTGTACCTCTCGTACATTATAGCCAAAAACTCAAAAAGCCAATGATTTGTTTGTTTTGGGTTAAAACATTAAGTTATTACAAATATTCTACATAATTCTTCAGTGAAAACATTTTAACGTTCAGTATGAAGTTTGAATGAATTAATACTAAAGAAAACCTATAAGTATACGAGTATTGTAACAAATTAAAGATTAACTGTGTTGATTAAAGAAGAGGTGGCGACGGACGAGGTGTGGAGAGGAGAGAGATGATTTAAAGAGCGTGCTTAGATATAGTTATGCATTACTCTATACAAATTCGGAATGGACTTACTCTATCACTTATAGACGAAGAAGTATTGTTTGGAAGTATAACTTCTAACGCGACTTTCATCAAGGTTGCGTTAAACATTTAACGGCCTTGGAGGATAAAAAGAAACAGAGCGAGAGGGAATGCGTGGTGCTCAAACGGATGCGGGCAATAAATTGTGACTTGTCAGTAACATTATTAAGTTTGCCTTAAAGATACGCTAAAACTTCCTTAAAGATCAATTTCTACCCCTTCCTGTTTTCATTCCAACACTACGAAGTTTCAATTCTTCTCCACGCACAATTAATTTATTAATTGTACAGTTTAACAAGTTAGTTGTGTCTTGTAGCTAAAATTATATGATAATGAAACCGCCTTAACTTTATCAATGAATTACGTCGAAAAACTCGTTTTATAAAAACAACTTTTTTAGACTATATTTTTTTATTCGACAATATGACTTGTAGAGCTAGGAATGACTAGAAAAATTCATTAAAAATAAAATAATTACCTATTACTTTTAACTTCATTCGCACTGGAATGGTGGAATATTTAAACAATATCAACGTTTGGAGAAAACATAAAGGATTTTGCCGAATGGAATA